TGGTGAGTAATGGACATTTCTGCACATAAATGGCATTGCCATTGGCTGTGCTGCTTATAGAAATCCAGCCTGCACAGAAATGCTCACTTAGGAGTGTAATCGCATCCGGAACACATTATCAGGAGATAAGTATACAATGGGGCAGAAGTTACAGAGCATCTCTCAGTTTGATAAATTAAGTTGGCTTTCTGAAGTCATCTGGGAACGTGCTAAAAAACTGGGAAAAGGAACATCCTTCTCTGAGCAACTATGATCCACTCTCAGGGCGTTTCCTGGGAATTCACAGCCAGCAAGTCCACTCACTGACCCAATTGTGCATGTCAAGCCATTAACCCAGAATTGAACACTCATTTCTAGGGAATCTATTATGCTTGAATCATTGTCACTGTAATAAGGATAAAAGAAGAGGGCATAAGGATTTCTTCTGAAAGAAGCCTTTTTGCCTAGTTCTAGAGAGTTGTTTGCTGGGCATCAGCCTGGAATAATTCTTCTAGGCTTCATGACTCTTCTCAAAAGAGGTTAATGATTCGTTACCAACTGCATTGGAAAAAAAATAGTACCTCATGAGTGCTACTATGGCAATTGATAAAACTGAATTGAAATCCCAGGGATCATTTACTGCATGTACATCTATGGGAGAGTTGTTTAACCTCTTGAAGACTCCGTTTTCTCACCTGTAAAATGATGGTTATACTATCTGCCATCCAGATGGTTGCAAGAATTGAATGAAATTCAGCACAGCAGTGGTGTTAGGAGTTGCTCTTTGGCATCCGACTCCTTGTGTTCAGAATGGCTTCTTACCAGCGAGGTGCCTTTGGACGAGTTAACTACCCTCTCTGTTCTTCAGTTTCCTCATAATAATAACTGCTACTTTTGGTGTTGTTATGAGAATGAAATGAGCTCTTTACACAGATAAAGAGCTGAGAGCAATGCCTGGCACAGAGTAACCACTCAAAAATTGTTCATTATTGCTATTGTTGTGTGTAAAGAACCAAATGAGGTGCGTGCACTGCACATTCTAGATGCTCAATAAACACGACTTCTCTTTCTGTCCACTATTCTTTTGGCCAGGTCCAGGGGAAGCTTTAGGTAACATGACTCAGTACTTGTTATTCTCCAGTTCTTCTCCATAAATCAGGGGTATAGCAAAAGACTGTCCCCTTATCTCCATGGACACAGACCACTTTGCCTCATTTCCCACTGGAAAACTTGCACAGGTGGTTGACCCCTAGCCCAACAAAAGTGACCTCTAAAGCCCCCCTGACAAAAAATACAGATCCCTCTGACCCACTTGGCCCTAACCAAAAAAATACACTCCCCTCATCTTGCCAACCCATGTGCTTCAAATACCCATGATTCCATAATCCAGAAAGTACTTGCAAAACACCTGCCATATATAAAGCAATAAGGACTCAGAAGAAGCAGTCATGACCCCTGCCTCCAGAACTTGGTGACCAGTAAAGACACAAAAGGCAGAGGGGGATAATTGCCAGGAGAGAGAAACAAAGCAGATCAAAAAAGACTTCAGGAAGGAAGTGGCATTGAGACTTTATCTTAACCAATATGTAGTATTTTAAAAATTTTATTTATCCTTGAGAGAGAAAGAGAGAAGGGGAGGAATAGAGAGAGGGAAAGAGAGAGAATCCCAAGCAGACTCCACACTGTCAGCACAGAGCCCAACGCGGGGCTCAAACTCACAATCATGAGATCATGACCTGAGCCAAAATCAAGAGTCGGGCCCTTAACCAGCTGAGCCACCCAGGTGCCCCAATATGTAGCATTTTTAATGGCGTCCATGTACGTGGGGAATTCCAAATGGAAGAAAGAGTGGGAGTAAAGGTTTAGTCAGTAGAAAGCATGGAATATAGGAAAGGTATGTCAGCTCCTCAGGCAGGAGCTTAAGATAAATAATAAGACAATGTTGGAGATAAGAATTTTTAAAGATGTTTAGGACAGAGCTGAGAGAGCATCAGAAGATCTGTAAAGTAGGGAGCCAGTGGAAGTTTCCGAAAGGCAAGGAAGTGGCATGGTTAAAGCTGGTTCTTGGATGGGAAATCTAACACCGCAGAGGATGAATTTGAGAGGAGAGAGGAGTTAGGGGATCACCATAATAGCACAGGTGAGGAAATTGAAACTTGGTGCCGGTAAGAGGGCAGAATGAGAAAGATACGGGGTGTGGTGTCCACAGGTCTTGACCATTGATTGGATTTGGGGGTGAAAAGAGAAAGACACCAAGGATGAGCCTCAGACCTTGAACGTATCTGCCGTAGCTGCCAGTGGAACAAAGGACAATGGCCTCGCCTGAAGTAGGGAAAAAGAAGATTCTGCCTCTGGCATGAAATGACTTGGGTTCATCCTTCTGAGAGTTAGCTTTGCCCATTCTAGTCCTTTCCTAAAGCTGCAAACAGTGGGCCTTACTTTCTCAGTTCTTTATTTACAGGAGGAGTCCTCATGAAAATCACAGGGCTCTGGGATATTGGAGAAGAAAGCAGAGGCAAAAGCAGAGGCAAGATGGGAATAAATCTTCTCTTCCATCCTCAGGTTTGTGTGACGAGGTAGTCTCTTGCTCACGGAGAAAACGAAAGGACGACAGGAGGAACTTCCCCCAGTAGAATGTACATTCCAGGAGAGCAGGGATTTTTTTTTTTTTCCTGTTTTGTTCAGCGATGTATCTCTGTGCCTAGAGCAGTTCCTGGCAACAGTGGGAGCTCAGCCATGTTTGCCGAATGAACGAATGATCCCTGCTTCTTTTCCTGTTTTTCTTTTCTTTTTTTTTTCTTTTCGAGGGAGAGAGGGCGCAACTGAACGAGGGGTAGAGAGAAGTAATCCCTTGAAGGGCAGAGAGGAGAGAGAGAGAGAGAGATAGAAGTGGGGCTCACCCAACTCGGGGCTCAAACTCACAAACGGCGAGATCATGACCTGAGCCGAACTCCAATGCTTAGCCAACTGAACCACGCAGATGCCCCGAATGATCCCTGTTTCTAGACGTATGAAGAAATAAATAGAAGGCCCTTCACAGCTAACTCTGGATCTCCCTCCCAACCCCAGTCATGTAGTCTTTTCGTTCTTTTAATGTTTTTCATCTTTGTCCAAGAAGTACCTAGAAATAATTCCCAAAGAGCCCTGCTTTACATTCTCACAGTCTTGCAAAGCTCTCAGGAATTGACAATTGCGGGCAGTATAACCAAGGAAATGGCAGCTCTCTGATGAGCAGGAAGCTGGATATTTATGATGTCAAGCAAATAAGGCCTGTCACTGGGGAGGGAGGCTGGATTTGGAAGGATACAAGTGTGTGACTTATTGTCTTGATTTTATTTTCCACTTGTAGGCTCTTTTCATTATTTTCATCTTTTCCTTTTTAGAATGTGACAGGTGGAGGGGCGCCTGGGTGGCTCAGTCGATTGAGCATCTGACTCTTGATTTCAGCTCAGGTCATGATCTTGTGCTTCCTGGGTTTGAGCCCCATGCCGCGTTCTGTGCTGACAGCTCAGAGCCTGGAGCCTGCTTCAGATTCTGTGTCTCCCTCTCTCTCTCTCTCTCTCTCTCTCTCTCTCTCTGTCTGCCCCTCCCCTGCTTGTGCTCTCTCCCTCTCTCACTGTGAAAAATAAATTAATTAATAAACGTGAGAATATGACTAGGTAGAAATTTGCCATTTGGAAACTAGAATATCATCCAGAATAATGTGTCTCTTTTGATGCTATGAGAGGACACCTTACAACCAGTTTGGGGGAATCTGAGGTGTGGATTCTTCTATAGATTCTCAAACAGCATCACAAGGTCTAAGAGTTGGTGTGAGAAAGTGGAATCAAGGTAAAATATTTTTAAATGGATAAAGATTGCGAAGTGAAAGGATGTTATTCAAAAGAGTAGTTTATGAGTCAGGTTGGTCTGACATCAGAAGTCCTTAGCATCAGGCCCACCCATCCGGACTCATTATGTTAAATCACGTCTTATCTTCCTTTTCTGCTTCCTGAGACTTAATCATTGTTTCCTCAGTGAGTATCATCAGCTCCCTAAAACTTTGTAAGATAAAAGATTTTCTTTTTTGGGAGCTGCCACTCAGGGACTGAAACTGACTTCTGAACCTACAGTTTTAAACCGTATCATGCCTGACATGAGCCACTCATCCAACTCTGTTCAGATTATACTCTAGGGTCATGTATTATGTGCCTATTGCATGCAAAGCACAGTGGGAATACAGATACAGAGAAGAATAAGACTTTGTTTCTGCCCCGAAGGTAACCACAATTCCTGTGTAGAGAAACACATACAACCACCTCTTCCATGACAGACTGACAGGGAGCCACTGAAGGTTTTACAGCAGTAAGTTTCATGAACACCCAGGGTCAGCCTTTTTCAATGTGTCCTACTTTATCTGTGTCAGGACCAACCTCATCACTTCGAAGGAAGTGCAAAAGGAAAATAAAGTCATTTTGTTCATTTTCCAAATATTTACTGGAGAGTCCATTCTGAGGAATTATATGGACACCTACTTCTAGTTAAATCCTAAAGAAGAAAGCAATCAGAGAGAGCTAGAGCTAAAGGTAGGGAAAATAATCAAATTCGGGACAGGGGGAGTTAACCTGGCTGAGGAAACTGGGAAGAAGAGAGGGAAATGGGGGGGGGGGGGAGGAAGGGAGACACTTGTGGAATCTAGGAGAAAAAGAGACAAGAAAATCTCACTTAAAGGCATGAAAACATCGAGACACATCAAGATGTATGTGATAGGGCCATGTCTGGCTTCTCCCCAGGTCTTAGGACAGTGCCTTACATGTGGAATTGAGTGAATATTTGTGGATAAGGGTACTATGAAACAATCAAGTATATTACTTTATAATCCTTACACTTGTGGCTTATGCTTATTCTCTTTGGAAAGCAAAGGTTAAACTCTCTCTACCATCTCTGTTTCATTTCCCAGATCATCTTAACACACACGAGATCGCAACATCATAATGTATCATTAAGGTGCTTTCCCATAGCAAATAAGCCACATCGTAGGCTACTGCAAGTGTTTGATTTTAATAGTGTAAATATACAAAGGAAAGCAAGAAAGTATCTCAGCACTGCAGAGTAAAACACCATGAGGGACCCAAAAGTAAATCAGTAAAGGTCCCTTGCTGGTTTGGAATTCAAAAGCAATCCTGGTGGCCTGCTCAGTCTTCTCTCCCTCAGAAGTAGGTAAGTCTGGTTCTCCCTCTGGTAGACTCTGCCATTTGTAGGAACAAGCTTCTCTCTCCTCCTCTGCTTTTCCCCTGCTTCTCTTGTTCCATGCCTCCTGCCTGCCCTTCTGTCTAGCATCAGATTTCTGCATGGGAGAGAACATGAATGGGTTAGTACCTACCCAACGAAGACTGCCCCCACTAGAGAGAATTCTTGCACCTGGGATCTCAAAGGTGCTCACTCAGAGGATCCCATTGGCCAGGGTACCCATGTGGCAGTGTGTGCCAGGGGAGTTCCCTGAGGCTGCCTAAAGGGCTCAAAATGTGGCACGCGCTTGGGATTTCATGGATTTTTATGACGTTTGTGTGAATGTAGGCAAACAAGTATCACAAAACTATCTAGAATTAGCGGAACATTGAAAACATCATATAACCAATTCTGAACTCATGAAATTCCAACCTGCCGCCACCTACCCGCTCCCAGCAAACCTGCTGTTCCCACAGACTTCTTCATCTCAGCTGAAGACCACTCCACCCTTCTATTTATTTGGTCCATGAAATTGGATTCATCCTTCATTACTTTCTTTCTCTTACATCCCACATCTGATCTGACTGGAAATCCCATTGACTCCACTTTTAAAATGTATCCAGAAACTTAGAACTTCTCACCATTATCTGCACTGTCATCACCACGGTCCAAATCACTATCAGTCTAGATTTACTGCTGTAGGCTTTTTTTTTTTCAAGTTTATTTATTTATTTTCTGAGGAGGGGTGTAGGGAGCAGAGAGAGTGAGAATCCCAAGCAGGCTCCGCACTGTCACCATGGAGCCTGGTGCAGGACTCAAACTCATGAACCGGGAGATCATGACCCGAGCCCAAATCAAAATTTGAATGCTTAACCCACTAAGCCACCCAGGCACCCCAATTGCTGTAGGCCTCTAACTGGTCTCTATGCCTCCCCCCTTGCTTCCCGCCTGCACTCACCCCTCCACCAGCCTAGTCTCAACACAGCAGTCAAATTGATCCTTTCAAATATCGATCAGATCAATCATGTCACTTTTCAGTTCAAAACTCCTCAGTAAGTCCTCATGTCTCTTAGAAGAAAGCCCAAGTCCTTACAAGAGCCCACAGTGTTGACATGATTAGGCCTTCCCACCTCCTCTCCATCACTCTCACTCTTGCTCACTCTGTGCCAGCCATGCTGGTCTCTTTGATGTTTCTGGAACATACTGAACATGCTCTCATTTCTGGTCTTTGCACTGGCTTGTCCCTCATTTTGGAACTCTCTTTCCCCCAGAAATCCACAGGACTAACTGCCTCAGCAACCCTGGGTCTCTGTTCAGATGTCAACTTCTTATACTAACAAATCACCTCACTTAAACCCCCACCCAGCATTCCCAAACCCCACACCTTCCCCATGTGGCATGTATTACCATATAATTTTCTCATTATGATTTGGGGGTGGGGGTTCTGTAGGGTTTTTTGGTTTGGATTTATTTTTCTTGTTGGTCTCTCTCCCCCTAGTAGAATGAAAGCTCCATAAGGAAACCTAGACCCATCTCTGAAACTTATAGATGCTCACTAAATATTTGTTGGCGGATACCTGATTCACCAGACAACTGAGGCAGCACCCTGAGCTTATGAATTTAGAAGAGATCAAATATTGTGAAAACTCAAGTGTGGCTTGGGGTTTGGTGTGATGGGTTGAAAAAATATATATGATTTTCAAAGGAAACTTCTTTTTTTTCCCCCTACTATCTAACTTCGAATCACCAATCTGAACTGATGGCAATTATACACAGATACTGATGTGCTAGTTCCCATAAATAAGTGCAAGCTAGTGAGTCAGTCCATCACTCACAGATCACTGTAATGTAGGCAGAATGAAAAGGTAAGTTTCTCATTCCACTATACTCACATGCAAGAAATATCACATTGTTGGATTTATTTGTTTGTTTTTCCTGTATCTAAATCAAATTAAATCTGCTCCACTCCCTCTAAAACAAGCTTAGGCTGAGGTCTTCTGCTATGTGCCCCAAGGTCACCACTTTTAGTGTTTGGCCACCCTGGCTTCCACTTGTCCCTGTCAGTGGCCCTATTAATCCCAGGGGTGCTGTGATGGAGGTCCCTGACACTCTTGGAATAGTCTACCACTAAACCATCCTTCCTAAATTTAGAGGAAGCTCACCTTTCAAAAGGTTACCTCTTCTTAAAAATAATGTCAACCTCTAGTCCCTCTTTCTTGATGATCCTGAACCCAAGAGATTTGTTACTTCAGCATGGCAGATGGAGTGTAGATGCGGAGTTCTACAAGGCACCAAGAATCAGATCTTAATTCATCTCTTTACCTGATGTAATACATCCGATAAGACAAAATAGCTTCAGAATGATTACAACAAAAGAAATTGTATCATAGAGTTTCTAAATTGAATGCATAAATTCTCAGACAGTGTAAAACAAAGATTGATCCAATGGGCTAGAATTTCTCAAAGGAATGTTGCTGGAAGAAGTAGATTTTGAATGAGTCCTGGAACAGGGGGAGAGAGACTGAAACATTCCAATAAAGGCAGGCGATTTTGTCTTTGTATGCAATAGGGGAAGGAGGGGGAGGACACCAAGTCGGGAAACAGTGAGTCACAACCTGGGCAGAAGGGTTAGAGGATCAGGATGTAGAATACCGCAGTCGGCAGGGGGATTCTTTACCATGGCAGAACAGCAAGTCTTATGGTGTGGTACGGCAAGATAGCTGGAAATCTGAGCACATCATGTATGACTCAAGACCAGTTTAGATTCTGGGAAGAGACAGAGGGGAATGCAAATGCACTCCCAAAGCATTAGTGAAAGATGACCCACAAAAAAGGAAGAGACCAAATACTGCAGGGAAGAATTCCAAGTGTGGTATTGGGTATGTGCTCCATTCCCACTGAAGCATAAATTGGCTACTGAATTGCATTTCCCAGAGCTACTTCAGTGACTGGGCTCATCCATTTCTCCTTTGGGTGGTAAAAACAAAAAATTGAAACCACAGAAACTCACTAATGTAGGGAAACCTGGGGTCATTTGTACTTCTTTTCTGGGATGGTGCTAAACTTTGTAACATTTCTCCCTCCCTCGGGAACTCAAAGCCCTTGCAAAGACCCAGAGCGTTACAATCACAGGCGGCATGCTTCCTGCAAAAGGGAGTGCTTGTAACAAACGACAGGAATGCTTTCCCCTTCACTGTAGTTTCTAAGTAGTATCAGTACTGCTTTAAATTTGTAGTATGTCCTTCATACTAGCTAGATACAGGTGCTCAGGCATACATCCTTTATTATTCCTAAGTTTTGTCCAATCTTTATCCTTTGAGGTAGATGATTATGTGAAACGGCTAAAAGTGTTTTGTGACTTTAGTCACAGCTCTAGTGACTAAGGTATGTGATTAGACTGGGTACAATGCCATATTTATGACAGTAAATAGATTGCTTTTCTCCTGACTTTCCTTTTGGAGACTCTTTACAGAGAGCTATTGATTTCTTACTTCGTCAGCTGCCACAGGGGGGACTGGATTCTTCCCGTGGTCCCTGACACCGGTAAGCTTACATTTTAAGGCAGTATGTATGTACTCAAGCGAATCATGTTTAATACCCGCAAAAGTGAAATACCATGATGTGTGAGAAGAGAGCAAGCCATCCTGGTTTGAAGAGCAGGGAAAGGCTTCATAGGAAAAGGAGCGGTTTTGCCGGCAGTTAGGGGATGAATGGCATCAATAAGCAAAGAAAGGAACGAAAGGAACATTCCAAACTGAGTAAGAATAACAAAGTCACAGCCATGTGAAAGTGCAGGGTGAGTTCAAGCAACAGCAAACAGTTCTGTGGTTGCAGCAACGGGCACTTGGGAGACGGCGGTAGAAGATGAAACCCGACGATGGGGGGCCATAAATATCAGACATGGGGTTGCAGCAGGGACCCAGAAGAGCACGCCCAGTCATGTTCTGCACAATGACGGCCTCGTTGGAATAAATGGGTACCTTCCTGACATGCGTACGTTGAAGGATGGCACTCCCTGGGATGCCCAAGTTCCAGGGTCGCTGAAACACAAATCAGTCCCCCTCACTTGACTAATCACATCTGATATGATTGTGTTTCGGCAGAGAAAAAGTAAACACCAATTAGGTAAGAAATCAGGCTTCAGAGCACAAAATGAGTCATCTGGCAGACCCACAACGGCGGAGGAGACTTGTTCCTGCTGGGTGGCCTCATCTGAGGTTTCGGGGTATAAAGATAAACTCTGCCAGGAAGCCCCCTTAAAAAATCTGTTTCTGCCTCAGGGGATTTACAAAGGTCTCTCCCAGGGTCAGGAGTCCCAGGGGATGAGGTGGCAGGGGTGGTTTGGGAAAAGCCCAGCATGGTAAAGTGCTGAAGTACAAGGCAGAGAAATTGAGAAGCTGAGTCTATTCTCCAGCACCAAGAGGAGATGGAAGTGATGACGGTATTGGAGGGAGACCGCAGCTGGCTCAGCCTGTGGGCACCCAAGACGCACACCAAGGGCTCAGGATAGAGCACCCCTTGCTGCACAATGCATTCTGAATGCCACAGCTCGTGGTCTAAGGCTCCCAAAACAATGCCCTGTCCTGGGCAGAAGTGGCCTCAGGACAGTGGCTCTCAAACTTGGGATACACCAGAATAATCTAGAGGTTTTATCAAAACACAAATTGCTTGGCCCCAACCCCAGAATTTCGGATTCAGTAGGTATAGGGTGGGCTGCAGAATTTGATTTTCTAAGGATTTTCCTATTTAGTGCTGATGTTCTGGTCCAAGAACCACTGACCTAGAATTTGATGGGCCAGAGAGCTCAAGTAAAGTTTTCAGCAGTTGAAGGCAAGCAGAACTGGAAAAGGTAGGATTTGATCATTTCTAGTTTGAACTACCTGAAGGGGTTTTATATGCTCAGAAGACTGATGAATGTCAAAAGAGGCAACAAGTCAGTGACAATGCAATAGAAAGAGTGGAAGAAGGGAAGGCTAGCTTAAAGGATTTTAAGAAGGAATCTGGCCATTTGCCCAGAACAACCACCTGTTGGAGGAGGAAGGCACTGCATCACTGGCCACTCACTGATAATCTACAGCTCTCCTGTCACCTGGCTGCCTCTAGAATCATCTGGGAAGC